GTGGCGGGCTCGAGCCGTGCCGGGTGCAGGGTCTGCTGGCTGGGTGCTGGCAGGCTTGCACCTGGCACGGACACCGTAACCAGCCCGTGCCCCTTTAAGGGCTCCGGGGCCGGGAGTGGGGCAGAAGAGTTTCCCTGGTGGTGCCCAGAGTGGCCACCAGGGAAAGCTGGGAAGGGCTAGCCTCCCACTATTTCGAATTAAGTGGCTACACAGCCCTTAATTCGAACTAGTTAATTTGAACTAGGCGATAGTCCTCGTAGAATGAGGTTTACCTAGTTCGAATTAAGCGCACCGCTAGTTCGAATTAAGTTCGAACTAGCGGTTTGCATGTGTATCGCCTATCAAAGTTAATTCAAACTAACGTCTGTTAGTTCGAATTAACTTTGTAGTGTAGACATACCCTAAGAGTCGTTCCCAGAGATTTTCTGTGTTTTAATTTGTTTTACTTAGTTGCTCTGCAAAACCTAGCAATCAAGTATGCCTTATCAAGTATATCTTTTGTTTTATTAATAAAAATCACTTTTTAAAGATGATGATTTGATTCTTGTGTCCTGGAAAGGAACAGGGGCTCTGTGTGTGTATGTCTGTCTGTCTAAGACAAATGGTCAGCTATCAGGGACTGCAATTTATTTTTCCTCTTTTCTTTTTTCAACCTCATTGGGGCAAAAAAGCTTGGGGTACCCCTGGGAAAGGAATTTAAGTGTTCCCTCCTATTTTTTCAGGGTTGATGGTGGCAGCTTTTGTTTATTTCTCAGAGCCAGTGTATCTGTGACTCTGGGGAGGTTCTGTAAGCAGAGCCCAGAGGCAAGGTATTTAAGGTCTTTGCAGGCCCCTATCTTCTGCACTCGGAGTGCGAGAGTGGGGATCAGACCAGACATCATCTCACTAAAACATTACCTATCTATTCACATATCTGTACTTCCAAGGTATGATTCTAGACATGAGTATTCCTTTTCTAGACATGGGATCCCTGCCAGGTTCAATTAATCTTTTTTCACCTAGTTTGAACTCCCACAAAAGAAAAGCAGCAGGCAGATTCCCTTTTAATTCAAATCTCAAGACTTTCTTCTCATTGGTTCTCCTGGTTCCCTGCCAATACTTCCTGGCTACATGGGTTTAAGCCTTTAGTTACTGAATGCTGGAATGTTTAGAAAAGGACAGCATCCCTTCGATCCATCACAGGTGCACCTTCAAAATGCCTGCTTAGACCCCAAGGAGGGCTTAGACTGTCCCTAGCTGTTCCCAGACTGAGGCCTGGATGGCTTGAGACAGGGATACCGAGACTGCCAGCATGAGAAATCAGTCCTAGGATGAGGAGGGAAAAGTGTCCTCAAGGACAGTGTTTTGAAGCCCTTATGTTGCATAGATGGCACATACATCCCCAAGGACATCATGGTGTTATGAAAGTCTTTGAGGCTATGCAACTTTGAATGAGTTTGTTCTACAAAAAGGCCCAACTGATCAAAGGGAAGATCCTGTTGGGCTTGCTGGACCTCAGGGATAAGGCTCAATGGTTAGAGCCAGGGAACACATTGCATGGCGATGCTGGAAGACAGAATCCACACTGCTGAGTCTACAGTGTCCAGAGAGGCCTGGAGTCAGGTTCAGAAACTGCCTTACCATTCTGGACCAAGGCGGCAAACTTATCCCAAGATTTTTGAGGGAGCAAATCCTTAATCTTCACCAAAGAATCCCAAGAGTTATACCCATAACAACTCAGAATAGCCTGTTGTTTTGCTATCTGGAGTAGTAATCCCCCTGTAGAGTAGACCTTTCAGACAAATAGGTCAGGATGCTTAATATCCTTTGACTTAGGTGCAAGAGCTTGATGGCCCTGATGCTCTTTTTCGTTCATCGCCT